TATAGAGGATTCTTCTTGGAATTGACCCACAATGACAAGATTTGATGAATGGATGGCGAATCCTGAGAGAGTTGCGTCTGAATTGATTATTACTGCTTTGGGAGATTCCAGTTCTAACCACGTTCCAGAATCTTGCCAGATTTCTTTGAGGAAACATAAATCTTTCATAGGACCACGATTTATCATCATTGTGCCATTCCATCCTTTCATTTCTACCCGATTGCACATTTGCTTTCTTAATCTGTCTAGGAATGGCATGATTGCTGGTTCTGCTAATGCTAGGAACTCCATTTTTCCTATGAATTTGGCGACGAATCTTAAGTTTAACAGAGATCTTTGAGATTCTGCTAAGATTAGTTTGTCCATGATATCCATAGCTATTACTTTCTTGTCTTCTGGAATTAGAACTTTCCCATTTTCTAAATCGAAGAGGAGGCCTAGAAACTGAATAGTTTGAGTTGGAATCAGAACTGATTTCTCTTCTTGAAGAAGCCATCCAAGGAATTTTAAGTCTGTTATTAACGTTCGGAGATTTTCTAGTACCAAATCGAACGAATTTCCCACTAAAAGGATGTCGTCTATGTAAATAAAGACCATGATTCCTTTCAGCCGCCATTTCTTTACGATTTCTTTCATTATTTTCGTAAAGCTTCGGGGAGCTGTGCTTAGACCGAATGGAAGACATGTAAATTGGTAGAATTCTTCTTCGAATATGAACCCTAGGAGGTGTTGATGTTCCTCCTTGATGGGAACGTGAAAATAACCTTTCTTTAGGTCTATTTTGCATGCCCACATTCCTTTGCATAGGAATTTCATGATTTTCTGCACTGATTCCATTTTGAAGGAATCTGGATCTATTCCATCGTTGACCTTTCTTAGATCCAAAATGAATCTGAATTGGTCTGACCCTTTCTTTGGAACTACGTTTATAGGGTTGATAACGATGTTTGGGGAGTGAACAATTACTCCTTCTTTCAACATGGAACCAATCTCTTTTTGGATCCATTGTTTCTCTGTAGTAGAGAATTTCCTCTGATGGTAATTTTTCCAACGATTTGAATCGGAATCTATTGGAATTCCGTTTTGAATCCAATCGTGAATCATGTTGGAAACACCGAATTCTTGCCATCGGCTGTGAAAACGAGAGAGGCGACCACCAAGAGGAATGTTGGCATCATTTATTGTTGTTGTTTGAGTTGGAGGAATTTGAAGAGGTTCCACTTGCTTGGTGAGCATTGTTGAATCTTCAGATTGTTTGATTGGTAACTATTACCTTGTCCTTGGTTGAAGTTGTTGTTGTGGTTGTTGTTGTTGTTGTAGTTGTAGCCAGCTTGTCTATTATCGTATCTAGTGGGGAACTTACGAAAATTAGGGGTTCTGCTGGCCCATTTGTTGACTTTTTCAATAGTTTCTGCTGCTTTTACTTTTTCAGCAGATTTAATCGCCTTCTCTTGTTGTTTGGAGGTGAT